TTTTGAGCAGGAGAGGGACAGAGGTAGCTTCGGCTCCTGGGAAGCATTCAAAACATCCATTTGGGGCTTATATCCATCGGGGTCCAAATATGAGACCAAAACCACACAAGTGATTTGAAGAGAAAGAGTTGAACAAAGAATTGTCAGCTAAGTCTATAGTTGTTAACAAGGGGTGGAAAGAGAACTCTAAGTAAGGCGTCGCAGAAGTGGCAGCTGCAGGGTGCAGCTACCGTCCCTAGGGCTGTGAAGCTGAAATTCAGACCTTCATAGCAGAGATGCTGGCTGGGTGCTAGGGAAGGTGCCCTGTTGGCCTGGGGCTCAGATCTTTGAGGGAAGGNGCCTCAGAGTTGTCTTCGGGGCCCTCCCTGTTCCATGTGCCTTGGCTTCATTCTAGAGCAGACTTTCTCCATAAAGCATAGAGGTTGGCCACTAGCTTCATCCTGATGCCAACTCATGTAAGTAGAAGAGAGCAATGTTCTCACCTGCAGCTTCCACTTCACAAGTTCTTGGGAAGACTCTGCTTGGGTCATATGATCACCCTGGACCAATCAGCTTGTCTGAGTATGGACTCAACCTAGATTTAGTTCACATCCCCAATTTGGAACCCTGGGCAAATAACTTCGTTTCCTGTGTCCCAGTTTCCTTATATGTAACATGGTATCATAATATCTATCAGGCTTTCTGTGTGGGTTCAATGAATTAACACATGCACAACGTATGGAACAGTGCCTGATTCATACACTAATTAGCTCAGTAAGTAGTAAGCATCAAGTCGTAATTTTTTTTCAACACCGTTGATTTTCAGATCTGTCCCTTTTGTGTGTATAATGCTATATGTACTATATATGCATATGTAGTTTTTTGTGGTATATTTTACTTTTTAAAAAAATGTTGTTCGCACCATGTATATTATTCCTCAACTCACTTTCTTCAGTAGCATTATAACTCAGATTTTTTTTCCGTTCATGGACACAGAGGACTATTTTGTCCCTTTTATCTTCTGCCTGGTGTTTCATTTTATGGCTATACCATAGAAATTATTTTACATTCCCCTCCTGGTGGATATTTAGGTTGTCCCCATTTTGTAGCTCAAACAATCTATGCTGCAATAAATAGTCTGTGTGTCTCCTACGGCATGGGTACAGATATTTTATTTCTAGCGTAGATACTCTGTGTAGAATTATACATTCTACGTACTAATCATTAATGTGTCAACCCAGAGAAGTATGTAAAGTAAAAAATTTGAAGTCCTTTCAATACTTACTCTCTAGAGGAATGATTACCAGTTTGAGGTATATCCTTTTTTCTATGCCTATAAATATATGTGCACCCAACACAGTTATTGACATATAGCAGGTGCTCAATA